CCTCCAGCCCGGCCGGGGTCGGCTGTGCTGCCCCGAGGCAGCTCGTGGCCGGGCTGACTGCAGGTGCTTCAGGAGAGCCAAGGGGAGCCCAGCCACCGGGAGCTGGTGTCACCCGCTGCCAGGATGCTGGCGTGTCCCCGGGCTGCAGTGGGAAAGGCTTCAGCTGGTGTAATCGGTGCCCAGCAGCTGCTGCCACATGAGCCCGGGGCAGCCAGATGGGCTTGGTGATAATTGCGCTTCCATGCTGGCACAGCCGGGTCTGCAAACGGGCTCCTGGCGGCACTGAGTGAGTGGCCCTGGGCCGGGTGCAGCGCCGTTGGGCTCTGTCGGGTTTATAAATCCTCGTGCTGGCAGCTCACCTGCGGGGTGCGGTGCTCCCGAGGGGGAGAGATGCCTTTGAAGGGGAAACAGTGCTGAAACAGCAGCCAGGGGTGCAGTTTTTTGCCCGTTTTTTCCAGCCGTTTGGCCGATCCCCTTCCCAGCTCTTGCCATGGCCAGGCGGTGATGCCTGTGCAGGGTGCCTGGTTGGCACAGGGCCCTGCTGCCGTGTGAAGTCCCCAGGGGTTTGGTGAGGACAGGGACAGCGCATCCCAGCCCAGCCCAGACCTGTCTGTCAGAGGTCTCGGGCTCAGCCGTCGTGGAGCCGGCAGCAGCCACGTGGTGCTGGACGGTCATGGTGCTGCTCCCGGCCCCAGCGTCGCTTCCTCTCCCGTCCAGGGGGCCTGGCCGGAGGGATCGAGATCTGCATCACATTCCCTACCGAGTACGTGAAGACGCAGCTGCAGCTGGATGAGAAGGCAAACCCTCCCCGCTACAAGGGCATTGGTGAGTGCACACCCAGCGTCCTGCCCCAACCCACTGGCCAGATTCGGAGGCTCCCAGCGAGCGTGGCTGGAGCTGGGGGGGTGAGCAGGGTTTGGTGGGGGTGGCACAGTGGCCCTCAGCATGGTGGGTGATGGCGGCGCCGCTGTCCTCTGCCACAGGGGACTGCGTGAAGCAGACTGTCCGTGACCATGGCATCCGGGGGCTGTACCGGGGGCTCAGCTCGCTGGTGTACGGCTCCATCCCCAAGGCCGCCGTCAGGTAGGGCGTGGGGTGACTTGGGGGGGAACCCTGGGCAGCAGGAAATGAGGGGGTGGGTTTGCCCTTGGTTTCCCCAGCGACACTTTGCCGAAACCATGTGCTTTCCCAGACAGGGAGGGTCCTCTTGCAGGGTGCATGGCTGCTCCCGGAGACACACTTAGAGCAGGGGGATGCAGCCCCCTGTCCACACGCCCGGGAGTTGGCACAGTGGCTCCTTTGCAGGTTCGGGATGTTCGAGTTCCTCAGCAACCAGATGAGAGACGAGAAGGGGCGGCTGGACAGCACGCGGGGTCTCATCTGCGGGCTGGGTGCTGGTGTGGCTGAGGCCGTGGTGGTGGTCTGCCCCATGGAGACCATAAAGGTGGGAAGCAGCTGCCAGCATCCCCCCACCCTGGCGCCCCTCTCCAGGTCAGGTTGGGAGGGGGCAAGAGCCAGGGATGCTCAGCTTTCAGGGAGCTGAGGACCATGTGGGTTTACTTGGGATGGTTTTGTAGGGGAGGAGCTGATGCTGGAAAGCCCCATGGAGAGGTCCCATCTGGTGGCCATGGCCCCTTCCCCGCTTCAGGGAGGGCTTACCACCCAGGAGCCATCCCGTCACTCACTTTAGTACTGTAAAACCCATGCAGTTGCTTGCTGAGGCAGTTTCCCAGGTTTTCCTCTGCGGAATGAACTGCTGGCTGTGGGTGCAGGCTTCCTCTGTGGTCTCACCTGGCGTTGCCTGGCCATATGGGTTGGCTCTGATCTTGGGACCATCCCTGGAGCAAGGCGAGAGGTGGCCGGCAGCCCTTTGGGGCCATCGCATCTCGCCTTGCCTCAGCCAGGACGAGTGCATCATCTCCCCACAGGTGAAGTTTATCCATGACCAGTGCTCCCCCAAGCCCAAATACCGCGGCTTCTTCCACGGTGTCCGGGAGATTGTTCGGGAACAGGGTGAGTCCTGGGGAGGTGGCACCCTGACCTCCTGGGTACTGCCACACTGCAGGGATGGGGCGGGAGGTGGGGGATCAGTACAGACTGGGGTCAGCAGCCTGGGGAGGTTTTTCTCTGCCTGGATGAGGCTGGTACTCCCCTCCAACACCCTCTCTTGCTGCAGGACTGAAGGGGACCTACCAGGGCTTAACTGCAACTGTCCTCAAGCAAGGATCAAACCAAGCCATACGCTTCTTTGTCATGACCTCTCTCAAGAACTGGTACAAAGGTACAGTGACCCTGTCCCCCCAGGGCACCCCAGCTGCGCCGCCCCTCCCCAAGCCCATCCTCGGGAGCTGGGCTTGGGCTTTCCACCAGCACATCCTCTTCTTCTTGTGGTTCAGCCTCTCATGATGGAGCAAGATGAAAGCCAGGGCGGGGGAGGGGCCCAGCTTGCGGGGTTGAAGGGCCCCAGTGCTAGAGTGTCACCGCTGCTCCCACACTGAGCCCCTCAGTGCTGCGTGGGTTCTGTGGGGCTGGTGCTGCTGGACAGTCCACTCCAAATGCCCTGGGCCCCCCACTCAGCATGGCACCAGCCCTCACCATGAGAGCCAGACCTGAGACCTTTCTTGCGGGCTCCCTCGAAGGGTGCTGTGCTTCATCCCCACACCACTGCTCTGCCCTCAACTTCTCCTCCTTCTCAGGGGATGATCCCAACAAAGTCATCAACCCCTTCGTCACGGGGGTGTTCGGAGCCCTTGCCGGAGCTGCGAGCGTCTTTGGCAACACCCCCTTGGACGTGGTGAAGACCAGGATGCAGGTACAGCACTGGGGTGTGGTGCAGAACCACTCTGCCGGCAGCGGGCTGGGGTCACCCGCTGTTTGGGAGCTGTTTTGTGCAGCCCCTGGGGCAGGTGCCCAGTGCTGGCGAGGTTTGGGAGATGCCTGGGGATGCTGCCACCTCGCAGCCGGGCCGTGGGGATGCTGAGAAGTGTTTGCACAGAGCTGGGGACGTCCCTGCTGGGTTTGGTGGCCCGTAGCAGCAAAGGGGCATCGGTTCCTCCTGGCACACCCCCAGCTCTTTGCCTCCCCCACGAAATCTGCCGGATGCACCCCTGGCTCCAGCCTCCTGACCCTGCTTTTCCCATCCTGCAGGGGCTGGAAGCGCACAAGTACAAGAGCACCTGGGACTGTGCCTACCAGATCATGAAATACGAAGGGCCCCTGGCGTAAGCCCTGCGGTGGGGACGGGCAAGGGGTGGCATGGCGGGCAGATGGGGTGGGGTGAGGATGGGCAGGGAGGGGGCTGCAAGGGCACCCAGCCCCACGGCCCCCTCTATCCCCGGCAGGTTTTACAAGGGCACAGTGCCTCGCCTGGGCCGTGTCTGCCTCGATGTGGCCATTGTCTTCGTCATCTACGATGAGGTGGTCAAGTTCCTCAACAAGGTGTGGAAAACGGACTGAAGGGGTCGGGCCCGGGCGGCCCCCACCTCCCTCGCCCCGCGGGGCTGCAGCTGGAGAGCCGTGACCAAGCCCGCAGCTGCCTGCTGGCACTGCCCGGGGCCAAGTCTGCCCACGCACATGCCCTCCCCCCAAACCCGGCCACCTTTATGTTTAGGAACAGGCTCTGGAGCAAATTAAATTATTAGTTATATGCTAAAAGGAGCAGGGAGGGAGCATCATCCCAGCATCCAGACCCCCAGCATCTCAGTTATGCCTGCCCCAGTCTCCTGGTGACACTTCCCCCTGGTCCTGCATCACCTGCGAGCGCTGGTTATCTAGGGTGAGGTGTCCCCTGGGACGGTGGACCTGTGCCCCCAGGGCCCCCTGGCAGCCAGGAGCTGCCGGCTGCCTGGGGGCCAGCTCTTTTTGGGGGTGCTGAGAGCTCCCCAGAGCTGTGTGGGTGCAATGGCCAAGCTGTGCACCGGGCGTCGCAGCTGGCAGAGGCTCTTGGGGCTGTCACTGTGGCTGGGAGCGCTGCATGGGATCTCATAGCAACTCTGGGGGTGCCCACCAGCCCTGCACCCTCCTGGGACAGGAGGGCTGTGACCCACCAGTGCAGCAGCCCCAAGCTCCCTCCTCCTTTGTGCCAGCACTGAGACCCCCTGGGGGGGAGTTCTGCTGAGGAGGTGCTGCCAAAAATTGCATGTACAGCCAGGCCTTTGGTTCTCCTCACTGCAGGACTGGGATTGGGGTCAGCTGGGTGCCCCCATCACTTGCTGTTTACAGCTGAGACACGTGTGTGAGCCAGGGTGAGGAGGTGCAGCCCTGTGCCGCAGACTTGACCCCTCGGCCGGGGTCCAAACCCCTTCTTCTGCCACATTCCCCAAATCTGCCCTCCCGCCGCCTCTCTGCGGCCCCATAGGTAATCCCGTAGCTTTCAGAGCTTCACACAGAGCTAACACCTGTAGCTGTGGGGTCGGAGCCCGGCCCTGCCCCATGCTGGGCTTGGCCCCAATGGTTTTGTGCCAAACTTCTCCCAAAGGATCTGGAGGGGGGGTGCAGGAGCCAGGGCTCGACCTGTCCCACCTCCCTCCTGTCGCCAGTGACGAACACAGCCTTAACACAGGAGCGTGAAAAAGAAGGAAAACCTGGGTGCAGTTTACCTGTGGCTTTCTGCTCTGAAGCCAGTGAGGGTTGGGTTGGTTTTTTTTTTATTATTATTATTCTGTTTTACATTTGCAATTTGAATAAAATCAGTCTGGCTTTAGCAGCTGCGTTGGCATCCAGGCTGTGCTGAGTGGGCACCGAGCGGCTCCTGTGGTGCGGGTGTGGGCTGGGGACGGGGTTCCCCATCATGTTGAGCTGGTGCTCCCGGAGGAGCATTGGCTCCGACCCAGTAGTGCCCTTTCACAGATGCTCCTGCCCGGTTCTAGGGTTGCCATAAAACCCACGCACAGTGTTTTATTAACCGTCCTGGTTAATTTTATTAAGTCCTCGCCCCAGCCATGGAGTGAAGAGCCAGGACAGCGAGGGGCGGTGGAGCAGAAGGGAACGGGCTTTGTCCCCCCGCCCAGCGCAGGGGCGGTGCGGCCGGGGCTCCCAGCGCCACAGCCCTCGCTCC